GCTAACCAGTTGCTCACCGTGCTGCCCCAATCACAGACATGTGGTCGCAATTTGCTTGGAACGCAAAAGTGCACTGAGGCAATCGAATCTGTTGCGCACATGACTATTTTCAACACGTATGGTCACTTGCGCGCCGCTTATGTGCATCCCTGGTTATTATGTAATTAGATAATATAATTGTACTCATATTACAATGGGCTACGAGGTTACAGTATATGTTCTTCAGTTTTAAAATATTAACTTTTTATTCAGTGCTATTTTGCTTTCTCTTTTTAATCATGGCTTTTTAACAGTTTTGAAAGATGTTTCACATTTTTGTCAAGTGGCATGGACATAACTTTTGCCTTTTCTGTAAAGTGACATACCAACTCATAACACATCTCTCAGGAACAGAGGAAAACTTTACTCCCATTGTTGTCTTGAATAGAAGCTTACTGAAAAGATTCCGAAGAGAGTCTGATAATGGAACATGCATCTGGGAAACCAATGAGAATGAATGTGGATGGAAGGCACTGGTGAAAAGTGAGAACGGGATTTTTTTTGTTCTAAAATGAGCAGCAAGAGTGGGCATGTTCACTCCATTGTAGCCTCATTGGTAGGTGAGATAAATGTTGTTATATCAATGTATCAGTAACATGCACAGCATGAATGTAAACATTTGTTTTTTTTTTAATTTAAAGACAAAACTGTATATACGTGCTTTTCACAGGCCAGCGACGATATAGAATTGTTGAATGGGAGAATGAGATCCCTCCAAAAATAACAATTGATGACTACAAATGAAATGCTAACCTTTCTTCTTTTATCTAGATTAGTTTCTAATGTTATTGTAAAATTGCAGCCAACAGAATATTGAATACCATATTTCTGCACTATAAGGCGAATCAAAAAGTCTTCCGTTTTCTTAAAAGCTCACGGCGCACCTTAAAATCCGGTGTGCCTTGTGTACGGTCATTACGGTAATATGTCGACCCCAAGATGGCTTCTTCCTGGAGACATGCTTACAATGTTATAACTTGCTGTTGGTTCAGTGAACTGTGTTCCTGCTTTTTTAAATAAGTTTTGTTGCAGCTCAGAAAAAAGGAGAGCTGTGGTGTTATTTTTTTAAAACGCACACTTTATGAATTTTTTTCACAGTCTCAAGAAATACAGTTACTGTACGTCTGTCAGTCTCCGTGCCTTCTCTTCTTCCTTCGACCCGAGAGGCGTTCATGACCGCCTCGGAAAAACGTAAATTAACGATTGCTTCATTGAAATTACGAAAATTGAAAATAATGCATCAAAACAGAAAATCAAGCGAGTGTCACGGTGCGAGGTGGTGGTGGACCCCAAAAAGCAGGAAAGAGGGAGGAGCAGGGTGTATTTGAAGAAGTGTATTGATAAAACACTGAAAATTAAATCCTAAACAAACAAAGTCCTGAAAACAAAACGAATCCAAAGTATCAAACAAAACCATGAGTGAAGCAAAAAACTATCAACAACAGAAACATGACCAGAAGAAACATGACAGCAGCAAACAGCAACAGCCACAAACAATGACCCGAAAATGAGTGGTCGGGAGAGAGTCCTTTTAAAAGGCTAACGACATAACGACCAACAGGTGTGCAGCTGCAGGGGGAGCCCTACAGTGCCACCTGTTGGTCACGAACCGAAACATGACAGCGAGGAAATCACAAAATAAATTCTCTAGTCCCCCTACAGAATTTATTTTGTGATTTCCTCATTGTTGAATACAGTTCACAACAAAGGAATAAACAGCAAACACTTCTGAGACAGTCCAGTCTCCTACATTTTAGTAACATCTGATCTTTCTGTTGGAGCTATGCTCAAGGAAATGCCAAAATAAATTCTGTAGGGCGGCCATAGAAGTTATTTTGTGATTTATTCACTTGATTTTCTCTTTTAATGCATTACTGTATTTTCGTAGTTTCATTGAAGTAATCATTAATTTATGTTTTTTGGAGGCAGTAGTGAACGCCTCTCGAGTCAAATGAAGGGCTGTGGCTCCATCTAGTGGATGCATTGTAAATTGCACCTTATAATGCGGCGCGTTTAATATTTGAAAAAAATTACAAAATAGACCATTCATTGAAGGTGCACCTCATAATCCAGTGCGCCTTTTAGTGCGGAAAATACGTTACTTTTTGTTCCTTGCTTGTTAAATGTTACTCAGTCCAGTTCCCTATGTCCTTCCCGTGCCCACATTTTTCTACAAACAATAGCTGTCCTGTCCACCACGTCTTTTTTCGTTCCGCCGGGGTTTAGCCAATGTGTTTATAAAGAAACCAAAATCTCTTTAATACTTTGCAGCATTTCACATTTGTCTTGTGAATAAACATTTGCTTGTTTTGCTGAAACGCTTCAGTGTCTTGGCTGTTGGTGTTCACAGAACAATGATGTTTTGCATTCTGTGTCCAATAATGAGACAGAAGTTCAAGTATGTTTCAAGAGCTCAGGAAATTGTGGAGCTGTATGATGCAGCTCCGCAAAAAAAAAAAAAAAAAAGGGGAAGTTTTTTTTTTTTTTTTTTTTTTTTTTTTTTTTAAACGTACACTTTAAAATGTTCAGACGAACACAGACACGTCTCTCCAAGAATGTGCCTTCTTTTCTTCGTTCGGCTCAAGAGGCGCTCAAAGACCGTCTCCAAAAAACGTAAATTAATGGTACCTCAAAGGCACAAATAAAATCAATAATAATGCACCAAAAGTGAAAATCTAGCAAGGAAATCACAAAATAAATTCTATGGGGGTGTTTGTGAATACACAACAAAGAAAATTTTCCTTTAACATCAACAATTCTGAACCAGTTCAGTCTCCGACATGTACAATTAACTGATTATAGAATAGCTTCAAAGTCAAACACGTCATTTGCCAAGGAAAGCCACCTTTCAGTTTGTCCCTCTTTGTTCTATAATGCTAAATAAAACCATGGATTGGAAATCAGTCTGCTATGATTCTTGCACAAACCTGCACAGTCTCGACCTATGATCGGAGTGCCTCAATGACAGAAATTCCTGCAGCTGGCAAAATGGCAACGGCATCACCTGAGAGCTCACGGGCCATGTTCAATCTCTGGGACGAGCACAATGCCCCCCGTGAAGAAGAGCACGAGGTCTGTTCCAGTCAATCCCATAAACCTGAAAGGAAGACTCTCAATTGTGCGCTTAAAATAAGTGACATGTATGGATGATGTATTGAGATTGTCCAAAATCAGTTTTGTAAAAATACAGGTACGCATTGTAACTGCGGCTATATAACCTGTAAAACATGCTAGCCTCTTCATTTTTGTGAAAACACTAACCTAGGAGTCTTATATTTCTTTCAAGTAGCGATTGACAGACGGGGTCGCTGAGTGTGTTTGACACTTTTCCCTGGGGACTGGAGTACCACTGCGTCGCTGTGTCATTAAAATGTGGGGAACTAAAAAGCGCCATCCCGTGGTTTGAAATATGCAAAATAGCAGCCTGTCTTAAAAAAAAATTGACATTTTGAGCTCATTTATCGTCTTTCAGGATTGTGAACCAAATTGACATGGATAAGCTTTTTTTTTGACCAAACAGTTTAATGTTGACCTCATCTATCCACAGGATGGACTTCCAAAAAGCTTCAGGTTTGTCCAGGTACTCTGTTTCAAAGTTGACACGGGCACCTTTGTTCATTTTGGGGAACAGAGGCTCCTTGCTCGCAAGCCTTCCACGAAAGCCTTGTTGATTTGTGTTTTCTTCTTCTTGTCGAATCCTGCACACATGTTCCAGATGCAGCAAGAGAGGTCTCCAAATTCCTTAATGTGATGTTTACCCAGACAGTTGTGCTTCTGACCTCTTCCTGAAGTCCTCAGAATTTTTTCTTCCTCTCCGCATGATTACATGAATGCGTTCACCTGTGGGCGGTGCAGTGAGCGAGTGGTTAGCGCGTCGGCCTCACGCTGCAGAGGTGCAGGGTTCAATTCTGGCTCCGGCCTCCCAATGTGGAGTTTGCATGTTCTCCCTGTGCCTGCGGGAGTTTTCTCCGGGAACTCCGGTTTCCTCCCACATTCCAAAAACATTAACAGCAGGCTGATTGAACATTCTAAATCAGGAGTAGGGAACTCCAGTTCCTCGAGAGCCATATCCTGCCTGTTTTAGGTCCCTCCCTACTCCAACACATCTGATTCAATTGTTCAGGCCTCGACAGAGCTTACTGATGAGCTGATCATTTGAATCAGGTGTGTTGGAGTATTGAAAGACCTAAAACAGGCAAGATATGGCTCTCGAAGAACCGGAGTTCCCTACCCCTGCTCTAAATTGTCCCTAGGTGTGAGTGTGAGAGTGGATGGTTGTTCGTCTCTGTGTGCCCTGCGATTGGCTGGCAATTGGTTCAGGATGTCCCCCGCCTACCGCCCGAAGACAGCTAAGATAGTCTCCAGCGCCCCCTGCGGGCCTTGTGAGGATAAAGTGGATCGGAAAATGAATGGATGGATGTGTTCAGTAGTAAATTTAGCTTTCCATTTCTCCATCTGATTCTACTTGACTGCTTGTTCAAAGCAATGCAGCCCAGGGTTCACCAAGTTGAATTGACGAAGAAGTCTTTTTTTAAATTAAGTCTTGACTACACAATTAATTAAGGAGCCTATCCCAGCAGGCTTCATGCGGTAGGTGGGGTACATACACCCTGAACTGGTGTCCAGCCAATCGTAGGGCACAAATGGACAAGCAACCACCCCCCCTCACACACACACACACACACACACACACACACACACACGGCACCTTAATTTAGAGTGATTAATGACCCTACCATGCAAGTTTTTAGAATGTGGGAGGAAACCTGAGTGCCAGGAGAAAACCCACGCAACCACAGAGGCTAGAATCAAACCTTGTGTATGCATTCATACATATTTGTTTTATTGCGAATATTGGAGGGGGGGGGGAGTCTACTGTACTAGTAAAGTATAGGTTACTAGTTTTTCTGACTATTGCAAAATGCAAATTCATGTCAACAAAGACAATGCATTGTATGAAGTACTGAAATGCAATTTATTTCAAGAATTCTCACAAATCAATTACGGTATTGAAAAATAAAGTGGTGATATCTCCAACTACTTTACAACCACATCATAACTTTGGTAATGCTTATTGAGAATGATATTTTGCAGTCTTATTGCACATCACATCTACACTAAACATTTCACTCTACTTCAAGACCTAATAAAATTACACAATCATAAAATCACCGAATTTGAAGTTGAAATTGTATTTATATGTGCAAGAGCAGTGAAGGATGCCTATTTTGACTATCACTTGTGTATCCCATTTTCAATGTGCAAACCTAACCAGTTCTTTACAAAAACTAGACAAAAATAAGTAGATTCTCCTCACTTACTCAAGCATAAATCTTTGTTCAGAGGCGTTCATCGTTATTCAACTTTCAATAGTTCCGTGAATAAGGCTGCATTAAGGTGCCTCCTTGAAGCTGATGTCACAAAGCAGCGATAAATGGTCTGACGGGTAGTGAAACGAGGGCAAGCGGTCTGGACCTATCTGCTCTTCAGTAGGAATATCAAGCAGACAGTCCACACTCAAGGAATCGTGTGTATACCATATATAGTCAAGCGTGCTACAGCTCTCTCCGGTCGGGCGGATCTTCCAGGTTGTGTACGGTGGCTCCGTCTGTCGGTCAGCGCTCAACAGCTTGTAAGCGGAGTCCAAGCCAAGTGGAGAGGATCTAAAGCGGCGGTAAACATCCTCTGAAGGCTCTGCATTAAAATCTCCACATACCACAAGAGGATTTGTCCCTGATGACCGCACATTGCTGCCCCTACTCCTGGAAGTTATGCTTCGGAGGCTCTGGAGCAAATTAGCACCTTGTGCGCTCCTCACCCTCTCCCAGCCACTTCGCGCTTTCAGATGTGTGACAGCCACACAAAGTTGTTTGCTTGTTAGCTGGCAGTTGAGTATCTGCACAATGGCCACCTGGTTGGTGGGTAACATCATTGCTGACAGCCGCAAATGAAGCGTAGTCTGTAGGGAGAAGCGCGAGCGGCTATAAAACAATGCGCAACCATCAGGACCGTTGTTTTGCTCCACGTCCAAACAAGGAGACCAGGGTTTTGCCAAGAAGCTACCATGATAACCTAGGCTGGCCATTATTGGCTGGAAAGTGTCATGGTAATGGTCAACTTCCTGAAGGCAAACAATGTCGGGGCGGTGGGTGAGGATCTCCTCCAAGATTAAGTACTTTCTTTCACTCCAATTGAGAGCCTCAAGAGGACAACGAATAAATCCATCCTTCCCTTCACCAAGTGCTGTAAAGACAGAAAAAAACCTGTTACAACCTACTGGAACTTAGCTTGCCCTGAGAGTGCACTCAAATTAAAGCGGTTGTCCCCGTACGAAAGTGAAGCATGGTTCCAACTATTTTGGAGCCAAGCACTCTTCCAGGCAGTTTAAGGTACACTGTCAGAAAAAAGGGTACTGTAGGGGTTCATCTTTGTTCTCCAAGGTACAAATTTATGTGATGTACGCTCTGGGTTCACAATCAAACCGCTAGGTACAAACAAGTATGGTTCACGGTTAGAAAAGGTACACAAATGGTCCAAATGGACAAAGGGACCATTTCTGTACCCTTTTGTTTGCATGTAAAGGTACAAACAAAAAGGTCCAACCCTGTATGGATGCCTTTCCAAAGAGCCCACTGTTGTTTTAAATGTTGTTGAAAGATATAATTAGTAATCGTATTTTAGACAAGGGATCGGAAACTGATTGCACTTCAAACCAACTGAAATCAGTTCTTGTAAAAAAAAAAAAAAATACATATATATATATATATATATATATGTATGTTGTTTGTGTAATTTTGTACTTTTCAGCCACTTGGACTCAGTGTGCCTCTCTCCCCCAGGACGTGGGCAAAGGTCTGTCGGAAGTTGGGAGTTTTAACCTCTTTCTGACAGGGGATTCCAGAAGGCATTGCCAGCAAACCCCCACAACACGCTTGAGTCTGCTGAGTCGGATCGGCATCTTCCCCCACCATTGGAGCCAACACACCACAGGGTGGTGATCAATTGACAGCTCCGCCCCTCTCTTCACGGGAGTATCCAAAAAATGCGGCCGCAAATCCAACGACATGACGACAAAGTCGATCATTGAGCTGCGGCCTCGGCTGTCCTCGTGCCAAGTCCACATATGGACACCCCATGTTTGAACATGGTGTTCGTTAACCCTTGTTCGTTGATTTTTTTTAACGACACATCGGACAAAGGCACCATAATGGAAAGGTGGCTTTAAAGTGTAATATCAAAGTCATTTCTAAATCCTTTTTTTTCTTGCGACCACTCAAAATGTTCAGTGGCGTCAGACCTATCCATACATATCTAGTTTCTATTTACTTATTGAGGTTGGTGCCCTCTATGGACATCAAAGCAATAAAAAGCAGTATTGTGCTATGGGTATAACTAACTATCATCTGCATATAAGTAAAAAACAAAAACATTGAATTCGGACTATTCAATATGGACAAGTTAGCGCCTTCAACATGTTAATAGATCATGACATAATTTTAGTTTGTACGTCAACAGTCCTGTTACGGGATGTTTTGGTGCACAAGGGTTAAGGACAATCCGTGACGAGCACAAAAGTCCAGTCACAGAACACCATTCGGGTTCACATCAGGGTGGGGAGGGGTGTGGGTGGGGAATCATGCTCTTCCAGGTCTCACTATTTATTTATTTTATTTAGCGAATGCAAAGTCCTTCAGCCATGCAGTTGCCTCTGGGTTAGCTGAGTGGAGGGTGGCTAGCCCTCCTCTCAGTTTTTGGAGAGGGCAAGCTTCGATGATGTGTTCCATTGTCTGCTCCTCTCCACAAGCGCACAGTGGGCTGGGGCAATTGCCCCATTTGTGGCGGCTGGCCAAGCAGGGGCCATGTCCAGTCCTGAACCTGTTGAGGGTTGACCATTGTCTCCGTGGAAGCTCGGTGCCAGGGACAGGATGGGTGGGGTCTGACACCAGATGTTTATTGCGGATCTCCTTGGAGTCCCATTCCTTTTTCCAAGCTGACTGGATGGTAAAGTCAGCTGGTGGGGGGTTCTTCCAGATGGGGCGTCTGGATGGGAGTCGGGCCGTAGGTGGGTTAAGGATGTCTTGATAAATAGGTAGGTGGGGTGAGACTTTGACATTTTGGAGCATCTTTTCGGTTGATGCTATTCGCCGAATGTGTGGGGGAGCAATGTTGGATAAGACAGGTAGCCAGGGGAGTGGTGTTGAACGAATTGTTCCGGTTATGATTCTCATGGTTGAGTTAAGCTGGGTGTCCACGTGGTGTGTGTGAGATGACCTGGACCAAACAGGAGCACAGTATTCCGCTGCAGAGTAAGCGAGGGCCAGGGCTGAGGTGCGCAGTGTGGAAGTGGAAGCGCCCCATTTTACGCCGGCGAGCTTACAGAGCAGGTTGTTTCTGGACTTGATCTTAGCCGCTGTTCCTTTTATGTGTTGCTTGAAGGAAAGGGTCCTGTCAAGGGTCACTCCAAGGTAGGTGGGGTGAGGGGCGTGCTTAAGTTCAAGCCCACTCAGGGAGATCTTCAGTCCTCTGGCTGCTGTAGCATTGTGCAGGTGGAATACACTGGAGACAGTTTTTGCAGGACTTGGTTTTAACCGCCAGGTTTTGCAGTACTGGTCCAGTTTGCCGAGGTCTTCTGTGAGCACGTGTTCCAGCTGTTCCAGATCTGGTGCTTGGTATGCCAGGCAGATGTCATCTGCATAGATGAATTTGCGGGATTTGGTGCAGGGGAGGTCGTTTGTGTAAAGGTTGAACAGTGTTGGAGCGAGAACTGAGCCTTGGGGGAGTCCATTTTTCTGTGTTCTCCAAGAACTGTTGTTCTGGCTGAGGTGTACTCTGAACCTCCGGTTGGTCAGGAGGGTTGTAATGATTGTCGTTGCCCAGGAAGGGAGAGCCTTTGCAAGTTTCAGAAGGAGGCCTTTGTGCCAGACTGTATCATAGGCGGCTGTGAGGTCGAGAAACACAGTCCCGGTCCTTAGTCTTTTCTCAAAGCCATTTTCGATGAACATAGTAAGGGCCAGTACTTGTTCTCCTGTGCTGCGGTTCTTCCTGAAGCCTGCCTGGTCCACACAGAGAAGGTCCTCTACTCCTGGGGATATGCGCTGGAGTATTAGACGTTCCAAGATTTTATAGGGGACACAGAGTAGGGAGATTGGGCGGTAGCTTGCAGGTAGTTTCTGGTCTTTGCCGGGTTTCAGTATGGCAATGACTTTGGCTGTGCGCCATTTCTTTGGAATCACATTGTCCCGTGCGATTCTGCTGTAGAATTTGGTCAGCCAGATTACGGCTTGAGGGCCCAGATGTTTCATAAACTCCGGCAAGATGTTGTCATATCCGGCTGCCTTCCCACATTTCAGGCCCTGTAGGACTTTCTCCAGTTCACCACTCTCGAAAGGGTCAGGAGGCTCAGGACTGTCGTCCTCTTTGGGTGATTTGTGTTGTTCCCTAAGCTCAGCTGTCACTGCTCTTCTGGTGTGCTTGTCTTGGGTTGGTTTTGCTATGGCCAGTAGATGGGATGCCACTTGATTGGGTGTGACGGCCGGTCTTCTTTGGGTAGGAGGTTTCTGTGCGGCTCCTAGGCGGCGGATGAGGCTCTAACATTTCCTGCTGGAATGGGTGAAATTCAAGTCAGCTACTGTCTCCTCCCACATTTTCCGCCGGGCTGTAGTCAGCGATTCTATGAGGTGGTCTGCCATTTCAGGGTCCCCTGATGCTTCATAGGCTTGTAGGAGGGCAGCGCTTTCTTCATCCAGGCAGGGGATGTAGAGGGGTCGGTAGCCTCTTGGGATAGCTGTGTGGGCAGCCTTGTAGATGGCACTGCAGAAGCGGTTGTATGCTTCATCTATCGTGATGGTGTGGAGTGGGATGGTTGTAATACTTCGGTCCAGGGTTTTGCGGTATTTCTGCCAGTTCTCACTGTCTTGCCCATTTGAGCATTGAAGTCCCGCAGCAAAACGATGGGAGTACCCAGGGGGAGCGCTCTCCAGCACACCCTCCGAGGACTACAAAAAGGGTCTGTACTCTGAACTGCAATTTGGTGTGCGTCCCTTAAGTCAACCAGGAGGAGTGACCTGGAAGATTAACCGTATATTAAAATTGAGGATATGTGATTCAGTATATATACCGTATTTTTATGACAAAAAGGCGCCCTTAAAAGTCTTACATGTTCTCCAAAATGGATGCCTCTTGTGCAGGGGTCCCCAACCTTTTTTGCCCCACGGACCGGTTTAAGTCAGACAATATTTTCAGGGACCGGCATTTCAGGTGTGGCGGAATTAATACAACGAAATAATATGGTATGAGCTGCATGAAAACTGTGGTGTTTTCGAAATATAATAATAAACACAAGGAGCGTCGAATCTGGTCGCAACACTCTTATCGCTCTGGTAATGTTTAATGCCTTCAAAATACGATACAACGCAAATTCAAAGTGCATGAAAATGACGACTCACCACAGCCCCGAGCTTGATTTTCTGCAATCAGACAGTCCCATCTCGGGGTAATAGGAGACAATGACACCTCAAGTGTGTGGTTTATGTCCAGTCTACTTCGTAATTTTGTTTTAGTCACTTTTGCTGCATAAACTCCCCACCTCACACAGGTTGGATGTCGGAAATAGCAACAGTGCTATTGTGGGGATCTCAGAGTATTCAGCCATAACTTTGATCCAGTTGTTTCGAACGTACTTTTAAGGCCGCCGTCATTTGCGATCTCCAAGCAGCTTTTTTACTCATTTTGCGGGCTTCAGCGTTTTGTTTATGAGCGTCATCGGTCACGTGACCGAGAAGTGTGGCTTGACGTGAGTCAAGCGTGACACAGACGGATGTAACAGAGAATCCGGTAATTTTTCAAAATAAAACACATTTCGTATTCCGAAATAAATAAAACGGAAATAAGGCAAGTTCTTTCTGTGCGGCCCGGTACCAAATGCCCTGCGGACCGGTACCGGTCCGCGGACCGGCGGTTGGGGACCCCTGCTCTTGTGTATGTGTTAAACACAGAAATTACACCCGTAAATGACACTACACCTTTTACTATGACGTCTCACCTGAGGAAGACGCTGGAGAGACTCGTCCTCGCCCACCTTCGACCGCTGGTGAGCTCGGCACTGGACCCGCTGCAGTTTGCCTATCGGCCTGGCATCGGCGTGGAGGACGCCATTATCTACCTCCTCCACTCAGTGCTGTCACACCTGGAGAAGGCTGGGAGCACTGTGAGAATCATGTTCTTTGATTTCTCCAGTGCCTTCAACACCATCCAGCCCAACTTACTGGGAGACAAACTGCAGAA